CGGCCTCCCAAAGTGCTGGGATTACAGTCAGGAGCCACTGCGCCTGGCCTTAATTGTTGAATTGTTATTATTTTTTCAACTCTTTTCAATCCACAGTTGGTTGAATCCGTAGATGAGGAACTCATGAGGAGGAGGGCAGGCCGTATATGGTTTAGCAAGGCACCTAATCTAAGACTCTTAAACCTGTGGTTCTCATACTCTACACATTCAAATTGCCCAACCCCACCCCTGCTCAGTTAGATTATAACTGAGTGTAGTCCCTTCTCAGATCCTGAAGGGCCACGTGCCTCCACCTGAGAAAAGGCTAGTGGTGAGAGAAAGAACTTTTTTCTACCTCCCATTTGACGGAAGACTTTTCTTTCACTGTTTTCAGTTTATTTTTATTTATTTATATTTTGAGACAGGGTCTCACTCTATCACCCAGGTTGGCATGCAGTGGCATGATCACAGCTCACCGCAGCTTCAGTCTTCCAGGGTTCATGCCTCCCCCATAGCTGGGACCTTCAGGCATGTGCCACCATGCCTGGCTAATTTTTGTATACTTTTGTAGAGATGGGGTTTCACCATGTTGCCCAGGCTGGTCTCGAACTCCTGAGCTCAACCAATCCTCCTGCCTTGGGCTCCCAAACTACTGTGGGTTTTTTTTTGTAAAGACTGGGTTTCACCATGTTGGTCAGGTTCGTCTTGAACTCCCGACCTCAGGTGATCCACCCGCCTTGGCCTCCAAAGTGCTTGGATTACAGGTGTGAGCCACTACGCCCGGCCTGTGTTTTGTTTTTTTTAAGACAGGGTCTTGCTCTATTGCCAAGCTTCAGGGTGCAATGACAATTCACTGTAGCCACAACCTCCCGGGCTCAAGCGATCCTCCCATCTCAGGGTCCCAACTAGCGGGGACCACAGATGTGAGCCACTACACCTGGCTGTTCATTTGATTCTCAACCCAGACAAATGGAATCTGTATATCCAGAGGTGGGACCTGGGAGTAGGTATTATGAAAGCTCCCAGATGTCTAATGAGCAGCCTGGCTGGACAACCACTGCTCTTCATGGCCCTGGCCCTGCTCAGCTGTCACCAAGTAAAGCACCCGGTGTGAATGAAGCCCTCACCATCAGTTCCTCTGATGGGCTGAGTTGTGCTTTCCCCAATTCCTATGTTGAAATGATAACCCCCAGTACCTCAGAATGTAACCATATTTGGAGATAAGGCCTTTCAAGAGGTCATGAGGCCATTACGGCTGGCTCTGATTCAATCTGACAATACCCTTGTAAGGGGAGGAAACATGGAGACACAAGCAGACACCAGGGAAGCGAACACATGGAGGAAAGGTCAGCGGCAAGCCAAGGAGAGAAGGCCTTGCGCGAAACCAAATCTGCCAACACCTTGATCTCTGACTTCCAGCCTCCAGAGCGGTGAGCAAATAGACATCTGTTGTTTAAGCTGCCCAGTCTGTATATTACGGCAGCATTATCAAACTAATAGACTCTGCAAATTGAGAGCCACATCATGCATAGGTAGAGGGTGTGCAGGGATAGCTCAGCTCCCAGGTGACTCCTGGACACAAACAAATGTCCTTAGAGGGGGTTTCTTTTTCCCCCTTTTTTTTTTTTTTTTTTTGGAGTTGGGGTATTGCTCTGTTGCCTAGGCTATAGTGCTGTGGTGCAATCATAGTTCACTGCAGCCTCGATAAGGTTTCACCGTATTACCCAGGCTGGTCTCAAACTAGGGCTCAAACAATCCTCCCACGTCAGCCTCCCAAGAAACTGGGGCTATAGGAATGTGCCACCATGCCTGGCAAATTCCTTTTTCTTTTTCTTTTTTTTTTTTTTTTCAGAGATGGGAGTCTCACTCTTTTTCCTAGACTGGTCCCAAAGTCCTGGCATCAATTGATCTTCCTGTCTGCCTCTGAAAGCACTGGGATTGTAGGCGTGAGGCTCCCACACCTGTCCAAGATTTTTTTTTTTTTTTTTTTTTTTAATATCAATCAATCCTGATTTTCCAAGAAACAGCCTTCTCCCGGTTTGGGCTATTTCCTAGAGACCAGTGCTGGTAGGGACTTCCTCTCAATTCTCTTTCTGGCCCCAGCCCCCTTGATATCTCTCCTGAACTGTGAAGGACAAAACCTTGAGGACACAAAGAGATCAATTTTCACACTGTTTCAAAGGCTAGGGGAATACCTGTGTTCTGTCTGGTAAAGGTAAGAAAATAAAAACAAACAATAACTGTATACTAGAATGGTCTGAATGCTAATGGCCTAATATAAGAAAAGACCTTACAATGTGAAGTTACAAAGAAGCAGAGGGTGTAAGTTCAACATGGTCTACAGATGTTAGGCAGGTCTGCTGGGGAGAGATGGCTACTTACCCAACGTGGTTTCCATGGAGAAGGGTAAGATGCTTTCTGTAGACTGAGCCGAGAGGAGACAAACTTTTCAGGTAGGCTTTGGGCCTGTAGCCAGTAATCTGACTAGAAGGAGAATTTCAAAAGGGGAATCTATTCTTCAGTTTTCTCCACTTCTAGAAGGTCTTCACTATGAGCCTTGGGCAAATGGGGCTTCCGGGAACCGGGGAGAGGAATGTCTAGTTCTGGCTTTAGGAAAGCCAAAACTGGGGGGGGAGTCTTGAGCCACCTCTTAGCAGTCAAAATGGGGATACTCTCAGGCAACAGGCTGGGCTCAGGAAATTACCTGCTCTCTTCCTTCTTGTTATGTGTAAGGTTTCTTTTTGGTAACACAAAGAAAAAATTAGTACTGGGACAAAGGATCTCTCAGCAAAGCGATTCTTTTTGCTTCCTGCGGAAAGGGTACCCCCATTAGCAATCTTGCCATGAGAGTACAATGAACAAAGGAAAGCAGATGTATTTATTCCTTGTGCATATGGGGTTGTCCTGACTGCTGTGTCTGATCTCTGCTGGCTGGAGCCAGATCTCACAATCTAAACTAAAACCCAGTTGGCTAATAGCTTGAAACGTTTCTAAACAGGTAAAAGCAATGGAGAGTAAAAAAAAAGGAAGTCCAAATAAGGAAGGGACATAGGCTGTGAGCTGGGACATGCCTGTGAGCATGTCCAGCACAGATATCTTAAAGTACAAGGACATAGAATGGACTACGTGCCTGAAACCACGTCTAACAGCTACATAGGATAGGGCTTCACAAAGAGCTGTTAGCAAAAAGCAAGAAGGCTTTTGAAGAAAGTGTTTAAAACAATTATTTCTAACACAACTTTTTCTTAAACAAGAAAGGAAACTTTGAAGAGGAACTTTTCTACTTCCCATACTTCTTCCTTCAGGAGCCCCATGCGTATCCATTGTTTATCTCCAACGTGTAAGTGAGAACATGCAGTATTTGGTTTTCTGTTTCTGAGCTGGTTCACTTAGGATAGTGGCTCTTGTTGCCCAGGCTGGATGGAGTGCAATGGTGTGATCTTGGCTCACTGCAACCTCTGCCTCAGCCTCCTGAGTAGCTGGGATTGCAGGTGCCCGCCACCATGCCCTGCTAATTTTGTATTTTTAGTAGAGACAGGGTTTCACCATGTTGGCCAGGCTGGTCTCAAACTCCTGACCTCAGGTGATCCACCCACCTTGGCCTCCAAAAGTGCTGGGATTACAGGCATAAGCCACCGTGCCTGGCCTATTTCTGTTTCTTACAGGGTTTAGGGTAGAAGAGTTCAAGGCGGGGAAACAGATGAAAAAAGGTTGAAGGGCCCAGCTAGTGTGTGTGGCAGGATAGGAAGCTGCCGACGGTCTGCAATGCCAGCAACATGCATGGGTGGTTATCACCAAGACAGAGGCCACAAAACGGGCTCAGAACAGCTGTGTGCTGGCACTCACAGCTCCATGCAGACAGAGCCCGCCCCTGGGCCTTGGTGTGTGGCCTTCTTCGCAGGTGCTTCTTTGGGAAGCTGTGCAGTGAGGGAGATGAGGCAGCCTAAGGGCAGGACATGGTAGCATAAGGGCGCCAGCAGGCAGGAGCGCTGACTGCCCAGGGATTGTAGTGTCAACCTGCACAATATGATATCTCCCATCCTTTTGCATAGATCTTCTGTAGGGCGGCCTCCGCCTACTACAACTCCCAAATCTGACATTGATTCATCCACTTTCCCCTAAGTGCTCCCTAGCACCTGCCATGAGTTTGTTCACAATTGGGACCCCAAATCCAGGACATCTCACTGGCTCAGACTCAGCTTAACGCCTCGTTAAGTAGGGGGGCAAGACACTTATGTGGAAAAAGTAATTTTCTCACTGATGTCCTATTTTTAATGTGAGTACAAATACTAAACAAATATGATCTTAGTGTCTTGCTAAAAGGAATTTATTATTAAAAAAAAATAAAATAAAGACAGGTTTTCATCCTGTTGGTCAGACTGTTCTTGAACTCCCAACCTCAGGTGATCCGCCCCCCTTGGCCTCCAAAGTGCTTGGATTACAGGCGTGAGCCACCACGCCCAGCCAGAATTCAGATGTTTTTAACAGGCCACAATTAAATTCAAAAAGGGGCTGGACCCGGTGGGATGGCTTGGTGAGGCCGAGCGGCTCGGCTCCAGCTCCAGCTCATGTGGAGTGCTGGACATCCCCTCCCAGCATGGGGGTTCTGACTTGTGCATAGTCAAGCCTAAAACTGGCACAGCCACAGGCCAGGGGTGGAGGCTTTAGAGTCCACTGGAAAACAGGGAGGGCTGAGTCCAGCGTCTCAGTGGGTTTAGTAGTGAGGGCTCCTGTGAAGAACTCTTGGCTTAGCAGTGTTCATTATTGGCCCCTTCCTTAGTATGTTCCAGGCCGAGTATGTACCTTGCATGCTCTGACCCTTTGAAACACCAAAGAAATCAGCAAGGAGATAACAGATGCCCCAAAGAGACGAATGGTGCCATGAGATCTGGCAGCTGGGACCTGGTCCAGCCTATAAGCACCATTGAAGAGCAGTGTCTTCTTATTTAAACAGCAACTGGAGATTGATTTCCTGAGGTTTAACTGGGAAAGCAGATTCATATACTCCACAAGACACCAGATGCTTCATATCGCTTCTCTTTATTTTCAAGTTTTTTTTTTTACAACAGTCCACACAGGGATTACCTCCCACATATACTTCCCAAGCCAGAATCTCCCTTTAGAAATTCAGATTCTATTTCTAACTCTATAGGATGCATCTCCCCAAAGATTCCATCAACTCCTCAAGTCAACATCTGCCCACCCCCAACTTCCCCTTTTTTCCCCCACTCACACTGAACATTTGTCTCAAACTGTTGCTGCTGTGTTGCTTCAAGATGCACTTGAATCCTGGGCTTCACTGTCCAAGTATGCAAAATGAAGCATTTGACATGTGCACCCAGCTAGGCAGGCATGAAGCAGGGGCACAGGATGGGATCTGGGTCATAGAAGGTTCTGTCCCCACAGTGAGGACAGGGGTTGGCACTGAGCCAGACCATGCCAGGCCGCCCCAATTCGCACAGCAACTCCCTAAGCCTGGTGTGCAGAAAGGCAAGTCTCCCCAGGTCGAGGGTGCCATTGACATCCTCATAACTCTCCATGGGAACAGGATATAGCACGTGGCTCAGATTATTCAACCCGATGACGTGGTGCACGAGGCTCTCCAGGACAGACATGGAGATGGGATTCCCGCAGAAGCTTAAGGTGGTAAGCTGGGAGCAGTGGCTGAGGGAAGGCAGAAGAACAAGGAGCTGAGTATCCATGATCCCACACTCATCCAAGTCCAGGTCCTGGAGGGTGGCGGAGGTTCTCTCTAGCAGAGCTTGGAGGAGCTCGGGATTTATCTCCGTCAGCATGACCCCACTTAGACTCAGGACACTCAGCTGACTGATGCTGGGGCTCTGCGACAGATGTGTCACATCTCCTTCTGAAAGCCAGCAGTTAGTTATCGAGAGGGTTTCCAAGGGGTTCATCATGCATCTGCAAATAGACAAAACAGTTAGTGCTAGGGAATGGAGGCGGCGGGGTGGGGAGACTGGAGAGAGGCCCATTTCACCAAAACCCAGTCTTCCTGCTGATAGTTAACCCCCAGGATGCCAGGTTGTAAAGGAGCATTCGAGTGAGCACAAGTTCAGGTGCAGTCCTTTCTCCGTTATTTGCGGCATAAGTCGGTCAAGTAAACAAAAATCTCAAATGCTCCCTTGGCTAACCTGTGAGGCAGGGTCCATCCAACACAGACCTCTTAGGTGGTGTGAGCATAAATTGAATTGAGAAAGAATAACTGATCTGATGTCTCAAGCAAGAAAGACCACCAGTGAATTTTAGTATTTGAATACAGAACCAAAAATTCTTTCAACTCGGACTGCTTCCGGCCGCTGCATGGGCTCCGGTCACCTGGATCTGTGCCTGATGAAGCTACTGGGGAGTATTCACAGAGGACAAACTTGGGCAAGGTCAGCAACATCCAAAGGGGGTTACCAGGCTGCAGGGCTACCTTAGATCACTGTATCATCAGCAAACCGCCTATCAATTTGTGCAATTCTTCACTCCTGTTCCTTCTCCCACATCTTTAGAATCCTGCATTTCCCATATATTACCCTAACTGGAGTTCTAAATCACCCTTTATAGACAAGAGTTTTGAGGCAGGTCTAGAGGCAGCAGCTCATGTTGAGAAGCTGGTGAGCGCACAGCTTACAACTTCAAATCTCATCTTTGAAGGCCTTTCCCTTCTTCAATGCCCTTCTTGCTTATTTCTGGTCATCTTAGGCATCACTTCCTAAGGAAGAATGCCTAAAGGTACTCTCACCAGGCCCCAACCTCCCATTACAGAGTTTTCTAACAAGGAGTCACTGTTAATGGCATCTATCCTAATATATACCTCCAACCTTTATGAGTAGCAGTTACGTGAGACCATGCTTGGGGACAGCGTGGTGAACAAGACGTGTTAACTGGCAGTGAGTTGCTCACTCCTGCATTATTGGTGTCTGGCACATAAAAATGTCCTTTATTGTTTCCTGCAATAAAGGGCTTGCTCTGTCCTGCAGAGAAACCTCACCATCCCTCACCTGAGCAACTGATCCAGGCGGCCTCTGAGGAAAAATAAAGAGTCCACGTAGAGGTCCTGGAGGCAGTGGAGATTGAGGAACTGAGTGGTGAACTGGGCGATACACTGCTCTTCCTTCTCTGGGGAAATGAAGGAAGATGGATGGATGTGGGCGAGGAGTAGTCTACGCAGGTTACTCATCTGGCTCAGGTGAGGAGAAAATTTCGCCAAGGTGGGTAGTTTCCAGGTGCAAGTCACTTCCAAATCTTCAATAGAGTCCAGCTGCACCATTTTCAGGATCATCTTGATATTCTGCACAGGCATTGCAAAAATCTTCAGCTTCTTACAGCACAGGTGTAGTACGTCTTTCTTTCGCCTCACTATCTCAATCAGGTGGGTGAACAACTCGTCATAGGCACCTTCCTTGAGGGACAGGTCTACGAGAACCTCCATCGGAGTCAAGGGCTGCTCTGCCTCTGTGCTCGAACCATCTACTTTTCGCTTCTTTCTCATGGGCTGAGCTGCTTCTGGCTCTGGAAATGAGCACAGACTGACCCTTTTTCCAGACCACACGGTCCAGAAGTCCTGATGAGAATTCTTTCGTAAATCCAGCACTTTGAGTTTCCACCTCCTGTGGGGAAAACAGGTAATTAGCTGACATGCTTTAAGATCAACTCAAAATAAGACTATGAGTCTCAATGTAGCTAAGAAGCAAACAGACATTCACCTTAGATCTGCACTTTTACTCTATGCTCCAGGCGTCAGCTGCTCCCTTTCCCACGAGGATCCTGAGATCCTTCCTGGTCCCCACTTCCCACCCGACCAGGAAGAAGCAGGTGCATGTTCCTTCAGACACTTCTGCATTTTAATCAGTGCCCCATGTCCAGAAGCCCATTCCAAGAGTGACCCCTGCAGTGGCCCCAACGCCCTCCTGAGCTTCCTTGCTGGCACCACTGGCGCCTCTGGCCCAGTGTGAGATGCTCCACACTCTGTGACTCCAGCTGTATCCTGCTCAGGTTTCCAGGGCCCTACAGCAAGCTGCTGGATCACACTTACCTGGGGCGAACCTCCTGGGCAAGCAGCACATCAACTCCATCAAGCACAGCTTTGAAGGTGTCCACGTGAAGCTGCTGTCCCTTCATCAGCACTCCCAGAGGGAGGCAGGTGAAGGGCCAGGCCTGCACCATTGCCTTCAGGGTCTGGTTGTGTCTCCCATCAAAGGCTGCCGTGAAGAGCAGCGGGAAGAGCTCCCTGGGGAGCATTTCCAGGGCAGCGATGGCCAGGGCCTCATTCTTCAGCAGGCTCTGCCCCGCCAAGTCCACGAGTCTCCGTGGGCTCGTCCACACGCTCATGCTGATGAACCGGCTCTGAATGCAAGTCTGAGAAAACATGCGGGGAACAAGGCATCCCTCTCAGGCCAAGCACAAGCGACTCTATCTTTTCCTTACCCTTCTGAGGAACCAACTTAGGGCCAAAGTCACTGTGCTGGCAACAGCAGGGGAGTTCTCAGTTTACCCTGATTCCATTCTGCAGTGGTTGGCCACAAAGGCATTGCTCTGCTGGCACCAGGATGAGCGTCTCCATCAAGTGTAGAGGAGGGAACGGGATGACCACTGGCCCTATCCTGTAACCACCCACTACTCAATTTAATTCTAGTCCCCCTGGGAAGTGAGAACTAAGGAGCCTGAGAGCTGACCTGACCCTGCTCATTTTGGGAAAAAGTTTCTGATGATCACTCAAAAACCATTCAAACTGGAGTGTCACATAGCCCAGGACAGCCTCCTTCTCTGGTCCAACAAGTAAGCCAGATGGGAAAGATTAGGAACACACGCACAATGCACAATGGGTGTCATCATATTTCACTAAAAAAATGTAAATGAGAAAACTACACAAGCGACCCAACAGTATTACACAGCATTCGGAAGTAAAATTAAACACATTCTGAGACATGCATTTTAAGTGTGTCTCTTTTATGTATATTAGAGTTACTACTTTGACATGGAAATCAGGGGAGCAAACACTTCACGGTAAAACAAAGCCTGTTTCTTTTTCCCTAAAACATTACTTTTTAAAAATTGACAAATAAAAATTGTGTATATTTATGGTGTACAACCTGATGCTTTGAAATATATATGTATCGCCGGGCGTGGTGGCTCAAGCTTGTAATCCCAGCACTTTGGGAGGCCGACGCGGGCGGATCACGAGGTCAAGAGATCGAGACCATCCTGGTCAACACGGTGAAACCCCGTCTCTACTAAAAATACAAAAAATTAGCTGGGCATGGTGGCGCGTGCCTGTAATCCCAGCTACTCAGGAGGCTGAGGCAGGAGAATTGCCTGAACCCAGGAGGCGGAGATTGCGGTGAGCCGAGATTTCGCCATTGCACTCCAGCCTGGGTAACGAGAACGAAACTCCACCTCAAAAAAAAAAAGAAATATGTATATATCGTAGAATGGATACCTTAAGCTAATCAACATATGTATTATCTCACATACTTGTGGTGAGAACACTTAAGATGTACCCTTAGTGGTTTTCATGTATTCAGTATGTTGTTAACTACGGTCACCATTGTGTATACGAGAGGTCTTGAAAATGCCTACACTCTCTAGCACAGTGGCTGGTGTCTGTAATCCCATCACTTTGGGAGGGCGAGGTGGGAAAATGGCTTGAGCCCGGGAGTTCAAGACCAGCAACACGATGAAACCTTATCTCTACTAAAAAATAAGAAAATGTCTTTAATTCCAAAGCATCTGAAAAAATAAATCTATGGAATATTTTTAAGCTTTTAGTTAAAAAAAGGCTAATTAGCAAATCAAATCATTTAAAATATCATCAATAATGCAAATTATAATTGCTTGCCACACACTATTTAATGGTAATAAAGTAAAATTCCAACTAATTAGATGTCTTTTATTTTCAAAAAAAGCTATTTAAGAAATTAGTTTAAACATATACAAAATGGCAGAAATCAAAATGTTTGGGATTCAATACAAAGAAATAATGAAAGTTTGAGGTAATGGCTATGATTAATTACCGTAATTTGATCATTACACACTATATGCATAAACTAAAATTTCACATGTACTCCATAAATATGTACAATTATGTATCATTTAAGAAATCAATCCAATAATGAAATAAAAATGTGTGGGATTAAGGCAGAACTACATTTAGAGGCGAGAGCAAAGCCTGTTCCTTTCTAAGGAAAGAAAAATGAAAACTCTCTAGGCAGCATCGGCCCTCATGGCCTGTGGAGGCCCTGGGCTGACAGTGGAAAGGAGGCAGTGGCCACAGCCTGATGACTCCCCAGACCCAGGTGTGGTGCAGAAGCCACCTACCCAGACCTCTGGGAGGACCACAACTTTGACTCCAAGGCCTCTGGGTCCCTCCTCTGGCCCCTCAGAAGCTATTATAGGCCTTTCTGAGTATACCTCTCCTTTCAACTCCATGCTGCCAATGGGAGAGCTAAATCTGATTACATTCCTGAATCTCCAGCCAGTGAATCCTAATGTGTTTGTTTTTATTTTTTACTTACTTCAGGTTCAACGGATTGATGGGATGTCAATTTACAAAAGGGAAGGAAAAAGTCAACAAAACCACCCAGAAAGTATAATTGTTGGGGGAATTTTTGGCCACATCAAAATTACCCAAATATTCCAGTTAAGAGAGCTTTATGAAGAGCATCACGTCATTCCCCCTTCCTACTCCCAAAAAGTCCCCAAGTATCAAATTGTCACTTAGACTCAATGTTCCCTAACACAGCAAATCACATGCCTATTCAGGGAGAAACAGAGGTACAACGGAGGGGTGGCTGGGCTTCCAGACTTTGAAAGTCAAGGCTGTCCTGAAGGAAGCTGGGTTAAAATTACGCTACAACTAGGAGTGAGAAGTAAGGGTGGGTCTGGGCATTTGTCATAGGACTGAGTGGATCACCGCCAAGTCAGATACGTTTTGTTTGGGGAACTGAAAAACAGAACTGAAACTAAAAAGGGGAATGGCTAAGGAAGACAAAAGATAGGCCCGGTAAAGCCAAGGTAATCACTGAGGCAGGAGGGGAGTTCAGTCTTCCTCCCTCCCTATGGGGAAAGGATGCTTTCTTCCAGAAAGTCAGGATCTTCTTGGCAGTCTTGACCAGATTAAATCTAGGAATGTGGGCTGGAGAGGTGGGACAGAGGGTCATATTGGTGACCAAACCTAGGACGGCATGTTTTCTTTTCTTTTTTTTTTTTTTTTTTTTTGAGACAGAGTTTCACTCATGTTACCCAGGCTGGAGTGCAATGGCGCGATCTCGGCTCACCGCAACCTCCGCCTCCTGGGTTCAGGCAATTCTCCTGCCTCAGCCTCCTGAGTAGCTGGGATTACAGGCATGCGCCACCATGCCCAGCTAATTTTTTGTATTTTTAGTAGAGACGGGGTTTCACCATGTTGACCAGGATGGTCTCGATCTCTTGACCTCATGATCCACCCGCCTCGGCCTCCCAAAGTGCTGGGATTACAGGCTTGAGCCACCGCGCCCGGCCAATGTTTTCAAGTCTGAAAGCCACTGTGGTTTCTTAGGAATTTTGAAGCCAGGGAGAGAAATAAACAAGAGCCCAAAGCACACATCCCTGCCATGAAGGAAGCTGTCAGAAAACCTTCTGTTTATGATTAGGTGTCGTCTTCCAGATTGTGCTGTTCACAGGCAGCAGGGCAGGCCTTTACCCAAAACATAATCTCCAATGGCCGGTCCCTTCCTATTACTAATGTTCCCATACTTCAAGAAAACAGCTGATTCAAATGCAGCCTCAAAAAGCCTCTTCTTGCCCCTAAGTTTCTCAGGTACAGAGATTCTCATCAGTGAGATACCATCAGGCATATCAATTATACTCAATGTTTCTCTCTTTCCGTGCTAGGCACAGTGCACAAATATCATCAACACATTTCCTCTCACAAAAACTGAAGTTGTATTTGGCATTCAGGGATCTGCTTAGGGATGATCCCTATCCCGGGCCTGATCACACGTTGGTGCTTTTGAAGTTTCGGAACCTCTCCACCCAAAGAATTCTCCAGGCCATTCTCTGCCTCATGCACTGTGCTATCCCCACAATTCTTATATTCTACTGGCAAGTGTCTAGCTAGGGATGTCTTGGGGGGTCTGGCTTTGTTTGCCCTGGCTTGGGTGAGGAGGCTGGAATTCACTGAAGGGTGTTTTCCATTTTGGTTAACTCTCTGGAGACTACTTTCTCCCAATTTTTACCATCAACACCAAACGGCCTTTGTGAAAATGGGGTTAAACTACAATGTGCTCTACATTTTCTTTCATTCCCAGGCAATGGTCTTTACTCTTCAGCTGCAGGAGACTTAGATTAGTAACAAAAGTCATTGTCAATGTCCCTAATCATTAAGCACCTTCTGGGCACAGCAAAGGTGGCGGCAATTCTCATCACCTCAAATAGCCTTCACAGAAAATCTAACGTTCACTGTCATTTTCATGTTTAGCCTTCTAAGTCCTTGACTCTGTGTGGGGAACAACTTGCTCAGCTCCAGGCAGGCAGGAACTGGTACCCCTTATGTGAGGAGGGGTTTACACAGATCATTTCCCTCCCTAACAGTCAAACAATCTCAGTGTTAAGAAAGAGCTGACTGATTGCCAGGCATGGTGGCTCATGCCTGTAACCCCAGCACTTTGGGAGGCCAAGGTGGGTGGATCACCTGAGGTCAGGAGTTAGAGACCAGCCTGACCAACAAAAAGAAACCCTATCTCCACTAAAAATACATAATTAGCCAGGCGTGCTATATATTAGCCAGGTGCATGCTTGTATTCCCAGCTACTCAGGAAGCTGAGGTAGGAGAATCACTTGAACCCAGGAGGCGGAGCTTGTGGGGACCCGAGATCATGCCACTGCACTCCAGCCTGGGCAACAAGAGCGAAGCTCTGTCTCAAAAAAACAAGAGCTGACTGATAAGTTTCACATAAGCCATGGGAAAACAGAAAACTGCACAAGTCCAAAAGTTAGGGAAGTTTCTACGGGATCCCAGCTTTCCGGAGATCCAAAGGAGGAGGAACCGCAATGAAGTCTGAGCAGTGCAGTCTCAGGGGACACTGAGGCAGGGGACACTCCTCTGTCCAGCCTCACACTGCCTGTTTGTCCAGTGGTAACGGAGAAAGCAGCACCAGAGCACAATTGCACAAAGGTGCTGTCCTTCCTCCCAGTGTCAGGGAGGAGTGAAGAGACTGGGGCCCAGCATGACCCCTAGGGTCCAGGCATGAGCTGGGGAGACATTTCTGCTTGTTCTGTTCTTATGGTCCTTGTGGGCTGCACAGGCCAGAGTGGCCTCTGAGCTCATCACAAGGGTGGCCCTCTTCTCTAGTCACAGAATCCCAATGGGGACCACCAAAGTACGTGCCCTCAGTCCTTCAGGTCTTTTGAATATTTCTGTGCATCTGATTTGTTTCTCCTGGCCTGTGCTGCCTCGGTGGTTCTCTCCTTCTGCACCCTGGAATGTCAGACTGCCTCTCCTGGAGTCTGGGATGTGACTGAGATGCTGGAAGATACCCTTCCACTGGCATTTACAGAAATCAAAGGATTCTCCCCAATTCCATGAGCTATTTTGGAGAACACGACAAGCCACAAGGTGTAGGGAATAAAAAAGCCCAGCTGTTTTTCTGCATCCAGAGGCACTGTGAATGCAGGAAGACATTCTGGGTGCCACACGAAGACCCTGACTCCTCTGGTCTGCTGAGGGCTGGAGCCCAGTTCCCACGCCAGCAGCTCTCCCTTCAAGGTTATTTTCCCAGCCCTTGAACAAAGAAGATTCCACCGAATCCAGGAAGTCTTTGATCTCCAGTCAGGTCTCTCATTAGCCTGACGTATTTTGCCCTAGATGCCTTTTTAAAAATTTTACATCTCTGTTGACCCTTTCTGCCCTCCCCAGTACTCAATGGGGTTTGGTTTCCCTTCAGATAAAAAATCTCTAGACCTAAACATGACAAGATCACCCTGGGTATAGCCAGTTAATCCCATGGGACATGGTTCTCAAGGCACAGTGGGGAGGGTAAGAGTCTGCTGTCATTCCAGGCTCAGGGGAGCAGAGGGCCTTGGAAGGAACAGCGATGCTGGACAGGGAATGGTCCACAGCTGCTGATGGGGAGCCAGGCATAAAGGGAGGAGACCAAAGCAGGAGACCAGGACTCCTGGCTCTCAGACAGCTGTGTCCCTTAAAAGCTGGTAACTTATGAGACAAGTGGGGACACTGTGGGCATAGTTTGGGGGATGGGAGTGTCCTGAGGGTCTGGCTTTGTTTGCCTTGGTGTGGGTGAGGTGTCAATGGGATTGACTGTTGCCCCACCCCCATGGCATAGTCAGACCAATGGAGAGTATGGGGGAAAGAGCTATCAATCCAGAAGCAGAAATGAGAAAGAGGTTAAAAGGGAAGGAGAAGGACTCAGTCTTGGCCTCCGGGCCAGAGGGGGATGCTCTCTGGGACTTTTCCACTTCCTCCTCCTCACTCGACAGCCTCATCGGACTCTGCTTTTCAGGAAAGAGCCAGAGACACTGCAAGCTGGTGCTGTGTCCCGGTCTCCAGCTAACCCTCAATCTCTAGGCCATAGGGGTGACAGTAGCTGAGAGTATAAGCAAGGTGCATCAGGCTGCCGGGCACTTTCCACCAGAACAACAAAGGGGAGCAACAATCCTCGGGGATCCCAAAGGCACTGGCCTCACAATGGACTGAAAAAAAATCCTCTAGGTCCGTGTTGAGGGCTGGCAGGAAGCAGTGGGGCAGGCTGGCCCCGGGGACACACTCGATGCTAAGTGTCTGGCACAGCTGATCCTCTCGCCTTGATTTACTCAAAGCCTCTTACTGAAAGCTTGGGGTACATCAACTGCTATTTTGGGTGACAAGGAGGAATACCTGGTCATGATCTTCCTCTCAGGGTACCTCTGAGGCCTGGACCTTCTATTCTTTTATTTTTAGACAATCTTGCTCTGTAACCCAGCTGGAGTGCAGTGGCACAATCTTGGCTCACTGCAAACTCCACTTCCCTGGTGCAAGTGATTCTCCTGCCTCAGCCTCCTGAGTAGCTGGGATTACAGGCGCCCGCCACCATGCCCGGCTAATTTTTGTATTTTTAGTCGAGATGAGTTTCACCATGTTGGCCAGGCTGATCTTGAACTCCTGACCTCAACTGATCTGCCCACCTATTTGATTTTGCTGTGACCACTAAATATGTTTTTTTTCAAAGCACTAGTAACTCTTTCTTAGTTATAAATGTACAGAGAAGCGAAAAAAATAGCAAAACTAGTTTGTTGAGCATGCTGTAATATAAATATTAAGAATCAAAATGTTTTGTTGCTTTGTAAAAAACTTATCAAGAGGTTGGGGCACAGTGGCTCATGCCTGTAATCCCAGCACTTTGGGAGACCGATCCGGATAGATCACCTAAGGTCAGGAGTTCGAGACCAGCCTGGCCAACATGGTGAAACCCCGTCTCTGCTAAAAATGCAGACAATTAGCCGGGCATGGATGATGACATGGGAATGCACCACCATAGCACCATGCCCGGCTAATTGTTTGCATTTTTAGCAGAGTTTTTAATATAGTGTTGTAGTCCCAGCTACTTGTGAGGCTGAGGCAGGAGAATCGTTGGAACTCGGGAGGCAGAGCTTGCAGTGAGCCAAGATTGTACCACTGTACTCCAGCCTGGGAGACAGAGGGACTCTACCTCAAAAAAAAAAAAAAAAAAAAAAAACAAAACCCAACTTATCAACAGTAATATGAACAGTGCCTGCCCCCTTATTCCAACATGGAGGGCACAAGTGTTCTACGTATTGAACTGTGACACTGGTGAGCCTGGATAAGCTTCCAGCAATTTACCCTTTGTGCCTTCTCATGACACGTCTCTCAGAGTGCCTTCAGTGTGAAGACTTCTGCTGTGGTCCCTCTGGGACATCCTCATCCTTTCTGTCACAACCATTTTCTTCATTTACTCTGCTCTAGAGATGGAGAATACAAGCCTAAAGCTAAATAAGCTGGATTCTGTCTCACAAGGATGGCGTAAAATAACTCCTCATGTCTGGCAAAGCTTAAAAACCGACCAAAGCATTTTGCCTTCCTGGGCTCATTAGTGCCTCACTCAAGGTATGTAATCCAGCAGCGGGCTTATCGGGTTTTCCCTTCCGGGTGAAGGTTAACTGGTGGTCAGCAAGAGTGATGTGTGTGCATCTGAATTGCAGTGCAGACCGTGGGATGGTGACATGGGAATGCAGTCCCTGGCTCGTGGTCCAGGGCTCCTTACAGCTGTGTGTTTGTGCCAGCCTGCCACGGGTATGGCTGGAGAAGCGAGTTAAAATGGACACCCCATTCTGTATGTGGCTGCCACAGACAGGGTCAGGGATGAGAGCAGCAGCCTCCATATAGGTGATATCCCTCACCTCAGTCCAGGGAGATGGCAAGTCCATGTTTAGCAGAGAGGTCTGTGGACTCTGCCAGGTCTTCCAGGAGGATGAGGAAGGGGGGCATGATTCTCCCAGTGAAAAAAAAAAAAAATCCCCCAAAATCTCCACTCACTGCCTTGAGGCACCTTAGCCCAGTAGCTCTGTTTGCCTGGGGTGCCAGGCTCAGAGCAACTCCTAGGAACACCCCTTGCCAGGAAAGAGGAAGTAAATGCACTGGTGGCCTCAACCCCCAGCTCTGCATGGAGGCCCTTCCAACCTCTGTGGCAGGGATAAGAAGCGTATGGAGAGCCCAGAAGGCAGCGCCCTGGGGCATCTCATTCTTCTCTCTGCACAGGTGAAACACTAAGGTGGTGACCTGCTGGCAGCCCAGGACTGACGAGCTACCTGGTCAACCAGGGCTGACCCTTCTCTGTTCTCCCAAGCTTCCCTGAGGTCATGACCTTGACCCTCTCCTCTCTGCACGCACCCCTCCTCTCCGGGTCTTGGGCTCAGTCTATGACACACCCACTCTTGAAGCTAGGGTTTTGGGATACAAGGTTACCATTTCCTGTTCTGAAGGCAGCAGGACCATTGGGGGCGATTATATATCGGGTGTCTGGATACCAACAGCACCTGAGCACGGCCCCAGAGTCCCATGCACGGCATCATCCTTGAGCCTCTGGTCCTGGCACGAGTCTCCAGGCTTCTAGCCAGATCGCATGTTCTCCCTGATCTCCCCAGGTGGCACCCAAAGATGAGGTAGTGCAATCTTGTTGCTCACCTTGCAGGACCCACACTTACAAGGCCAAAAGGCAGTGAGACAAAGCCTCCATGAGCTCACACTCTCCGACACCACTCGAAAGGGTGTGCTTTGGTGGCTGATTACCCTGGTTCTGAATGCAATCGTGGCTTTGGCAATAAGGCCCCCAACACATTAGGGTTTTTTTCTTTTTTTTTTGAGAAGGAGTTTTCCTTTTGTCACCCAGGCTGGAGTGCAATGGCACGATCTCGGCTGACTACAACCTCTGCCTCCTGGGTTCAAGATTCTCCTGCCACAGCCTCCAGAGTAACTGGGACTACAGGCGTGCACCACCACACCTGGCTAAGTCTTTTTTTGTATTTTTAGTAGAGATGGGGTTTCACTATTTTGGCCACACTAGTTCTGAACTCCTGACCTCAGCCAATCCGCCCGCCTTGCCCTCCCATAGTGCTGGGATTGCAAGAATGAGCCACCTTGCCCAGGATACCGTTGATTTTTATACAAAACAGCAGGACAGGATGAGTGAAATGCCCTTTTGGGGACATGACCTGAAACTATAAACGCAGGTCCTGCCTTTTCCTCTACTGTGAGGGACTCAGGATGCAGCTGCCATCTGGCTCCCGAGTGACAAGGACAGCGGGGAACAGGGCTTCTCGGGGCACCCGAAGCGTTTCAAGGGACTTTCTTACCCGCAGATGCCTTCGTTCCATTTTGAAGCGATTCTGGCTGGCCTCAGGACCTCCAACACTTGGATTTCTAGGTCTCAGTCACCTGCTTCCACGCATGTTTGAGAGGAATAATCAAGACGCTCCAAAGACAAGGACACATGTATGATATTTACGAAACAACGGCCTCCTGTGAAAACCTCTGCAAATACTGCAGAGGAAACTGACAACCGGACACTCAATATCGCCCTTTTAGTGCAAATCTCTGGCTCCAAACCTGAGCTGCAGTGTCTCCTGGGCTCAGCCAGGGAGCAGTAGGAACAACAGACCATGTGTTCCGTCACAAGTGACCCCCAGGGTCAAGGACCCTGACTACCGTCCTGCAGCCACATTTCTGCATCTGCTCCCGCCTTCCTAGGATGCCTACGCCACTGGGTGGGCGATTCCCAACCCCCAGCACCTTCAGAGGGGCTGAGTCCCAGAGCACCTACCGCACTGCGAATGCGCACCCACCCTGAGGAGTTCCAACCACGAGCGCCGCCGCCGCGGTTCAAAGCATCGCTACAGACACACCTCCTCAACTGCGGCCAGTGGTCCACGGCAGGCGGCTTGGGGTGACCCAAGTGGGGCACATCATTTTCTTTGGCCTTCGACCCATTTCCAGAGAGAAAACAGGGACTGGGGACAGGGGTGGTGCCAGGGCACAAGCCCAAGGTCACCCTGTGGGGCAGCGAGGACTCAGGGCTTGAACTCACGTTTTTCCACAGATAGTGCACCACGCCACGAAGTTGCTGGAAGGAAAGAGCGAGATGGTGACTCAGCAAGCGCCCTACCGGCAGCGAGGGGAACAAGCAGTCCCGTCTGACCAATCCCCGTTTCTCGTTCCTTCCCGGTTGAAATCTTACAAGATCCAGCGGGGTCAGGACTGGGAGGAGGAAGGGCAGAGGGGGAGGGGAGAAGGGGAGACGTGGCGTGGGATGAGATAAGACAATGGTGGGAGAGGAGAGGAGATGAGAGGGGAAGGGAGGGGATGGGGGAGGGTCAGGTATGGGGGAAGGGAGACAGGACGGGAGAGGGATGAGGATGGGGAAAGGCGACAGGGTGAGTAAGGGGTGGGGATGGAGGATGGGGAACAGGCTGGGGGAAGGGCGGGGATGGGGAAAGGGAGACAGTGTGGAGATGGGAGAAGAAAGACAGTTGGGGGGGTTGGGATGGGGGAAGGGAGATTTCAGTGCAAATCTCTAGCTCCAAACCTGAGCACCAGTGTCTCCTGGGCTGACCCAGGGGGCAGAAGGAACAACAGACCATGTGTTCCGTCACAAGTGACCCCTGTGGTCAAGGACTCTGACTACTGTCCTGCAGCCACAGGGTGCCTACAGCTTCCTAGGTGCTGGGGGTTAGGGATGGCCCACCCAGTGGCGTAGGCATCGTAGGAAGGCGGGAGTAGAGAGGGTGGGGGAGGGGTGGGGATGGAGGAACGGAGACAGAGGGTGGGGGAGGGGTGGGAATGGGCGAAGAGAAACAGGGTGGGGGAGGGGTGGGGATAGGGAAGGAAGAAAAAGGTTGGGAAAGGGGTGGGGATGGGAGTACAGACGGTGGGGGAGCGGTGGGGATGAGAGAAGGGAGAAAGGTTAGAGAAGGGGTGGGGGAAAGGAGACAGAAGGTGGGAGAGGAGTGGAGAGAACACAAACAGAAGGTGGGGGAGGGGTGGGGATGGGGAATGGAGACAGGGCAGGAAGGGGTGGGGATGAGGAAAAGGGGAAAGAGGTTGGGGAAGGGTGGGGATGGGGGAAGGGAGACAAGTTGGGGGAGGAGTGGGGATGGGAGAATAGAAATAGAGGGTGGAGGAGGGGCGGGGATGGGGAATGGAGGCAAAGAGTGGGGGAGGGGCGGGGACGGGGAATGGAGACAAAGGGTGGGGGAAGGGCGGGGACGGGGAATGGAGACAAAGGGTGGGGGAGGGGCGGGGACCGGGAATGGAGACAAAGGGTGGGGGAGGGGCGGGGACGGAGAATGGAGACAAAGGGTGGGGGAGGGGCGGGGATGGGGAATGGAGACAAAGGGTGGGGGAGGGGCGGGGACAGGGAATGGAGACAGTGGGGGAGGGGCGGGGATGGTGGAAGGAAGACAGGGTAGGGCAGGGATGGGAATGGGGGAAGGGAGACAGAAGGTGGGGGAGGAGTGGAGATGGGAGAACAGAAACAGAGGGTGGGGGAGGAGTGGGGATGGGGGAGGAGTGGGGATGGGGAGTGGAGACAGGGCGGGAAGGGGTGGGGATGAGGGAAAGTAGAAAGAGGTTGGGGGAGGGGTGGGGATGGGGGAAGGGAGACAAGTTGGGGGAGGAGTGGGGATGGGGGAAGGGAGACAAGTTGGAGCAGTGGAGATGGTAGAACAGAGACAGAGGGTGGGGGAGGGGCCGGGATGGGGAATGGAGACAAAGGGTGGGGTAGGTGTGGCGATGGGGGAAGGAAGACAGGGTGGGGCAGGGATGGGAATGGGGGAAGGGAGACCGGGTGGAGGTGGGGATGAGGGAAGAAAGGTTGGGGAGGAAGATGGAGGGTAACAGAAGGGGGTAGAGGAGTGTTGGGGACCGTGAATGGGTGACGCCTGTGGCCTTGTCCCCAGGACAGCAGTGGGGGCAGGGTGGAGAAATGGGGTATAGCTGGTGAATGGAGAGGCAGTGGGGAGGTGGGGGACTGCCTGGGAATGTGGGATGGGGGGGTTCTGGGATCAGGGAGAGGTCCAGATCTGGACCTGCCCTGGGCCTATGCTTCTACCGACCCCCCTTTCTCTCAATGGGATGCGGGTGCACCGTCTGGTTCCAGGGTCCCCTGAGCGGAGGTCCTCGCCCCATCCCGTCCCGCTGGTCTAGAAAAGATGCCGCTGCCCTTGGCCGGGTAAATCTTCACATTTACCTGTATTAACCTACTTCTGCAACCCCCCAGGGCTGAAGAGACCCCCACCGGGATTCAATTTACTTGTGCTCTATCTGGAGCGCGCGTACTTCGGTCCTCCCGCGAGTCAGTTTTCCAGAACGTTCTGAGGCCTGCGCATGCTCCTCTCGCCTCCCCGTGCTTCCGCATTCCACAGAGTCCACGCGTTCACGCCACACCCCTTCCCTGTGCCTCCAGAGGATTCGGCCCTACTTTCCCTGCCTTGAGGGCTGCTCCTTTTGTCGCCAATACATACCTGTTGATAGGTCACCCCTGGAGGACGGGTGGGGTGTCCCGGAGCGGTGCCAAGGCACGGCGGGCCCTGCTTCTGGCCGTTGGGCAGCTGTGGCCTGAAGCCTCGCGAGGATCCCACGTCTGGCGCCAGCAGGGGGCACTGGAGTCAACAGGGAGTGTACGCAAAACCCACTTCCTCCCGGGCCCTCTAGGGGACAGTCAGGTTTCTGCAGAGAAGGGGAGGAGCTTTTCCGGGTGAGGGGAGTGGGAGGGGCTAGGAGCCAAGCGGAAGGGCCCCATGTTCCCGGCCCAGTCCATGTGTTCGGGCGCCCTCTCCCCTCACCCGGAAAAGTGCTTTGCTGAGCTCCAGGAATCTCTTTGGGTCTTTTGAATTGTTTTCTCTGTCAGGCCTGGGAAGTACTCAGCCTCCACAAACTGTGTTTTCCTAAAAGGGGGACCCCAAATCTCCTGCCGTAGGCTGTGATGATCATGGTGACTAAGAGCAACAGGCAGTGCGGTGAGGCTGGCTGTCTTTTTGTGACTCCGGCCTGCCATTCCCCTAGGGATCCCCACGCTAGTGAACAGAGCTGCGGGTTCCCAGCTGCACGGATGGATGAATGCGAGAGCAAAACGTAGGTACATACAAAGGAAGTCATTGCATTGATCCAGATTCAACCAGGGATTGTCACATAGAATGGGGCTGATAAGGCCGGGCGTGGTGGCTCACGCCTGTCATCCAAGCACTTTGGAGGCCAAGGGAGGCGGATCACCAAGGGAGGTCGGGAGTTCAAGACCAGCCTGACCACCATGGTGAAACCCCGTCTTTAAAATAAATAAATAAATAAATAAAAGAATGGGGCTGATAAAAACCGTCATGTTTTCACCTTGGAAATGGAGACTCAGCCTCCCCCTCTCTGCTTGAGGCATTCAGCAAAGCTTTGTCCTTCAGTGGCTGTGGATGTTCAAAGATGTACAGTTTCTGACTGTATAAAGTTTAGGTTGAAAACAAAAAACAAGAAGACCATTGTTTTAAAGTGGCAGTCGTAGCTAATCATCTCAAGACAGCCAACAAGGCAGCCCCCTGGCAGGGTTGCCCAGGACTCCTCTTCTGAGACCTGAGCAGGGAGCAGTCATAGGAGCTTGAAGGGCCGGAGTTCAGGGCATGGGAACGGGCTGCACATATCTTGAGGGAGTACGGTGATTGTCCAGTTTGAGAAGGGAAAGAAACTGGGGCAGAGGAGGCTGAAGAGAAGGCAGCAGATGGATAGTGCGGGTTTGAAAAGGGGATCCAATTGAAGACTGGCCACCATCATTTATTTTCGTCATCTGATTGCTGTTGCTCCACTGAGATTGATGCGTGGAGAACAAGTTGGGGAGTGGAGCAAATGTCAGGGAGGCGAGAGAAGAAAGTGAACATGACCCTGGTCCTGCCTCATAGGACAGAGCGTGGACATGGAAGTCCACAGAGAACAGATAGAGAGGAATCATTGCATGGCCAGGTTGCCGGCAAGAGGAAGAGAGGGGAGAGGATTGTGGAGGATCCCTGAGGAGTGCTGACTGACAGTTGAGGCTGATCCTTTCTTTTATGGTGATGGGTGTGTGAAAGTTGCAGATACCAAAACAAACTTACTTTTTGTTGACCCAAACTAAAACCCTGAGGATATGAAAGGGAAGGGCTCGTGCTTACAGGGCTGAGATAAAAGCTGTCTCAGGAAGCCAGGCGTGGTGGCTCACCCCTGTAATCCCAGCACTTTGGGAGGCCAAAGCAGGCAGATCACCTGCGGTCAGGAGTTCGAGACCAGCCTGACCAACAAGGAGAAACCCCATCTCTACTAAAAATACAAAAAATTAGCCAGGCATGGTGGTACATGCCTGTAATCCCAGCTACTTGGTAGGCTGAGGCAGAAGAATCGCTTGAATGATTCTTCGCCTGGAGGCGAAGGTTGTGGTGAACCAAGATTGTGCCATTGCACTCCAGCTTGGGCAACAAGAACAAAACTCTGTCTTAAAAAAAAGAAAGAAAGAACACCTGCCTAGGAAAAGCATCTCCACCAATGAACTGATATCAGCTGTGGTTTTGAATCTCTGTAATCAATGGACTCTGTTTCTAAGCAGCTTATCCAAACCTCTGCATATGCTGGTACAGCCTTCCCCTTGCGCTCCCCTCTTCAGATGCACATGCGGCTTGCCATAGCTATGCATCTTAGGTTATAATGCTTCTTTTCTTTTTTTAATTTCTTTTTTTTTGTAAATGTGAGAATTAGAAAAGTTCCTCTTCAAAGTTTCCTTTCTTGTTTAAGAAAAATTCATAAGTGTTAGAAATAATAGTTTGTTTTAAACACTTTCTTCAAAAGCCTTCTTGCCTTTTTGCTAGAAGCCCTAACCTGTGTAGCTGTTAGACACGCTTACAGGCACGTAGTGCATCCTGTGCCCTTGTGCTTTAACCAAGACATCTGTGCTGGACGTGCCGACAGGCATGTCCCAGCTCACAGCCTATTCCCCTTCCTTATTTGGACTTCATTTTTTTGCTCTCCATTGTTTTTATCTGTTTAGAAAAGTGTCAAGTTATTAGCCAGTTGGGTTTTAGTTTAGATTGTGAGGTCTGGCTCCAGCCAGCGGAGATCA